AATAATTTTGTAAAAGAATTTTATAAAATATTTAATATTTTTTGTTATGTCTAACAAATACACACCGATGTCAGCACTACCTAAAAGATAAAGTGTATTAGTTGTCAACTTTTATCAAAATAAAGGATTAGGATAAATGAGAGCTCTTTATATGTCAAGACAACTTGCAAAAACATTTATTAGATTGAGCTCAAAGGTGCATAAATTAACAACTCTCTTCATGAAATGAAGAGGTTAAACATATGAGAGTTGGGCATACATTTGAGCTTCAACTATTATTTTTTTCTGTAAACAAAACAAAACACCATTTTTGTATGCCTTACAGACAATATCAGAAAAATAGTCAAAGAATAATAAAATAACAGTGGACGTAGGAATAGCTTTAAGTATCCGAACTATTATAAAAATCTATTTTGTCAATCTTTTATCTATGTTTCTTCAAACATATATAATCTCAGTTTCATAATTAACTCTCATAATTATTTCACGTGTAATTTCTAAGATTTGCTTAGTACTTTGCATGTACGAGGTCGTTGATGTCAAAATCACTCATCAACATTTTTAAACTGTTTCTTGATACTTTTTTAAGAGAGTTTTTGATAATTATTAGGCATATTTAATACATTTTAAATGAAGCAGATAAGTTCATTAATTTTATAAGTTTTTTATATGGAAAATTTGAGATAAACCCGTTGATAGAAAGATTATAAGTTTTGAGTTCACAGTTCTAAAGAGCAGGAAGGTTAGCCAGTTATTAATTCACACTAAAAATAGTAAAGATGTTAATATCTGAGAATTTTCATATTAAAAAGACCATTAAAATCCAGGATGAGAACTTGTTTAAATTTTAAGTTTCCACATCTATTTTGACACCCCAAAAAGGATGCTTGATAGAAATGGATGTAACAAACAGCTCTAAAATTTCATTCTTGTAAAACTTACATGAGCTTTAAGTTTTCAGACATTGGGAAGAATTATCAAATACATATAGATATGTATCCCACAACCAATTAATATGAAACAACATCAGAAAATTTCCAATTTTCATTCCAGGAATACATTATTCGACGTTCAAGTTCCTCGAGCAATCATCTCTCCATAACGTATGAACGATTAGTCCCTTTGAATCCTCAACTGGTTTCTGAAGTTCTTGATGAAAGCATCAGCTTGTGCATTGATGTCTTCCTTCTCATGATCCTCCACAATCACCTGCCTTATCTCGCTTTCTGTTCTCTTTGTATGACTCTTCCTTTGAATCATTTCATGGCCACCATGAATAAAAATCTTTCTATGGTGATCCATGAAAGCAGCTTTGTTGAGAAGTGCTTTTGTGATTGCGGCGAAACATCACGACCCTGAATTTATAAGTCCATTTTAAGATTAAAAGCATGAGTTTGACAGGCATAAAACAAAGGAATCTGCAGAGAAATCTTTGTTAGATGCCAAGAATTGTTTAATGTTTTCTCAAAAGGTGGAAAGCAAAGAGATTTGTTCTTCATACTTAATTTCTTCAGTTACAACTTCTCGAATCGCTACAAAATATTTCAATTCTGATGCGGCGTTGACGATTTTAATCATAGTTCAAATTTGATGGCTAAGACAATTGGTGTTTTGATATTCAAGGAGATAAATGCTGATGCTGATGCATGCATGATCGTACCAATTAATATTCTCCCTAATTCTTTTCTAGCAAAGAAACATCAAGAAGGATGAAGGATTTTTTTAAGAATCTTCTGAAGAATAATATATTATAATTTAACAATTATAGTTTGGTAAGTAGACACTAGAGCGTTTAATTGTAGTATAAAATCATGAACAGAATCATCATTAGATAGTTTGATGATAAAAGAGTAAAAAGAGTTTTATGAATTTTGAGTTCAAATCCTCCTAAACACTATTAGAGGTGACTATTTGGGGCTTTTTACTCAGTTCCACGCCCCAAGGGTTAGGAATCTTCATATCCTAATTAGAACCTTATTTCCTTTACAAAGTAAATTCATGGAAATTTTATTATGAAACGATATACGAGTGAAATTTCAACATTAATTTTTCAATCCAAGAATAGTAAATAATACGTGTGTATATGTTGACGGTTCAAACTTTAAACTCCTCTAGCTAGCAATCATCTCTTGATAGCGTTTGAAAGATTCTTCTCTCTGAATCCTTAACTGCTTTCTGAAGTTTTTAATGAACGCATCAGCTTGAGAATTTATATCTCCCTCATCTTCCTTTCTCTTCTCTTTGTAATATTTCTCTTCATCTTCCCACCACTCTCACCAAAAATATCTCTGTAACTCTCCATTGAACCACCTTCTTTGCTCAAGAATTGAAGAATAAGAATATTTTTCTTTGTGATTGTAACAAAAACATCAGAACCCTGAATTTATAGGGGTGTGTTTTAAGCTTAGAAGCATGAGTTTAACATGCATAAAAGCAAAGGAATCAGCTGAGAAATTTCATAGTGAATAGGAGAAGCTTACAAGATTTGATATAAAATTTTATATTAATAGTTTTTGTTGGCCAGTCTGTGGTTGCACTTGAAAGTGAAATAAACAGTCTCTTTTCTTTTTTAGGGTTTCTTTATTGTTTGTGTTTCATAGAGAATTTGCTTAAATTGATGTTTAATATTTTGGTTCTGACGTAGGTGGTTTTCTTGATGCACCAAAAGAAGTTTTTTCATTGGATTGCTTGTTATTCAATTACATTACAAATTAGGTCTTTCTATTCTATGGTCATGAAATTGATGATTATTTTACGAGTCTATAATTGAATTTTATAAGATTATAATAATGGTTAAAATAAAATTGAAATGATTGATATAACCGTTCAAATGTTAAGTAACTTTATATTTAATAAAAAATAACAATAAATTTACTTTCAAAGATACCATATAGAAAAGAGACGGTTGTCTTCGAGGCGTTGTAGCCGAATTCATAAAAAATCATAAGCTTGTTTGTTTTAGTATTTCAGGAAGGGAAAGTCGTTTCTTCAACATGTTGCTGTATAATCAGTTAATGACAGTATGTTACATTAGTTCAAGTGGAACACATCTGTTCAGAAATTATTAAATACTACTATCAAGGGTTTTGATAATTTTGTAAGGAAATATTTGATACTTTTAAGGCTGTTTGGTTCCGATAATGTTTTATTATAAAAAAAATAGAATTATTAGTGAGATAGATAACCTTGAAGATTAATGGGTATAAATTATTATTGTGTTTGATTCATATGAAATATATAAATAATTAATGAGTTTGGTTGATAATAATTACAAAATACTTACGTGTGTGTGTGTATATATATATATATATGTATTGTTATTATTATTATATTTGGGGCATTTTTTTTCCAAATAATTACTTAATAAGGTTAAAGGAGCCATTCAACAAGTTGGGTTAATTGTTATTTGACATCAAAAGGAGGGCATTTGTGTTCGTAATTTTTATTAAGGGTAAAACTGAAACAAAATAAGATTACCATGATAATCTTAAAATACCACCCTTTAAGTGGATAATCATGTAATTTTCTATATCAAACAAGGCAATGATTAAATTAAAAAAAAAATTATCGAAGTAATCTTCTTAGGGCTCTAACTATAGGGAGCCTTAAAAGGGGTTTTGGTAATTTTGTAAGGGATTGTATGATATATTTTAGGAAAGCTTTTTATAATTATAGAGGGATTATTTGATATTTTCTTAACAATCAAATGAATACATTTTAAGCGATTTTAATTAAAATAAACCCGTTGGAAAAAGATTATAACACTACACAAAACAGAACTTGTTTAAATTTTAAGTTTCCAAGTCTATTTTGACACCAAAAAAAGGATGCTTGATTCAGATGGATGTAACAAACAACTCTAAAATTTCATTCTTCGAAAACTTACATGAGCATTAAGTTTTCAGACACTGAAAAGAATTATCAAACACATATTGATTTGTATCCCACAACCATTTATTTATGAAACAACATCGGAAAATTTCCAGTATTCTATCCAGAATGATTCAAAGTTCAAGTTCCTCAACCGATCATATCTTGATAACGTTTGAACGATTCGTCCCTTTGAATCCTCAACTGATTCCTGAAGTTCTTGATGAAAGCATCAGCTTTTGCATTGATGTCTTCCTTCTCATGATCCTCCACAATCAACTGACTTGTCTTGCTCTCTGTTCTCTTTGTATGACTCTTCCTTTGAGTCATTTCATGGCCACCATGAATAAAAATCTCTCTATGGTGATCCATGAAAGCAGCTTTGTTGAGAAGTGATTTTGTGATTGCAGCAAAACATCACAACCCTGAATTTATAAGTCCATTTTAAGCTTAAAAGCATGAGTTTAACATGCATAAAAGCAAAGGAATCTGCAGAGAAATCTTTGCTAGATGCCAAGACTTGTTTAATATTTCATCAAAAGGTAAAAAGCAAAGGGATTTGTTCTTGAGACTTTCTCGCTCATTTTTCACATACAACTGCTCAAATTGCTATAAAAAAAAAAAATTTGATTCTGATGCGCGGTTGACGACATTAATCACATCACTATCTTATCTGTTCAAATTTGATGGCTTAGACAATTGATGTTTTGACATTCAAGGAGACAGAAATAAAATATATGCAGTAGGTTCAACTGCAGCCGCTTGAACAAAAGTAAGAACATCCAAACATTACAAACACAAACCAGAGTTCATCTCTACAAAAAAAAACAAAAATATGCAGAAGTTCCAGGCAGATTTGAATGCAAATGCTGATGCATGATCGTACCAACTAATATACTCTCTTAATCCTTTCGTAGCAAAGAAACATTGAGAAGATGCCAGACAAATACTTAACATAAAACTCAAACCACAATGCCGATAAAACTCAAACCACAATGTCAGTTGACATTATTTTACTCAAAAGTCAGTTACACCAATTGCTTTGCTTTTGAAGTTGCCAAATTGAAACAAACTGAACCTAACACGAAATTGCAGTAAATGATAAAAAGACTGAAGAAGGCTAGAAATGATAATAGAGACTGCAAACATAAAATATTGTGATATATAAGTACAATTAAAACACAGAACGTTATATATATTCTATACAATACATTTTCAAGATGTTCTATTTATTCCAAGATCTATTACAGCATCAATAAGATGATACCAAGAGATTGTTGTACATTGACATGGTTCTGGTGTAATCCTTTGATACATATGAATATGGGGAGCTTCCGCCTGCAAAGAATCAAGGAAGCTTTAAGAATCTTCCAAAGAATATAATATTTAAAATTTAGCAATTATGGTTTGGCAAGTAGACACCAAAATTTTTAATTGTAGTATAAACTTAATGGAGCAGTGAATGCAGGAATCTTAATATCCTGAATCTTAATATCCTCTAATTCCACTATGTAATGATAGACTACTCTATCAAACCAATGCCCCCAACTCCACGAAATAATTCTCATTGCCTAAATTAGAACCTTATTTTCTTTACCTTTGATCAAGATACTGTTTGTATATGAAAATATTGCCTTCCAGCATGTAGCAACTTTCATGTTTTGATCTCCAAAAGGGCCCCCACTGAACATGCCTAAATTTTAGGTGTGCGTGTGATTGTTTAGTAAGAAGTACCCGAAGTCATGTTGATTCCAGAACAAGGGTCCCTATTTCACATATGATAATGCTTGAAAATCTTATTCCAAAACCCTCTAGCTATCTATTGTTTCAGCATAAAAGTTTGATTCAAAAAGAGACAAAAAAAAAAAAAAAAAAAAAAAAAAAAAAAAAAAGGCAAGCTCTCGACCAATCTCTTTGAAGTTTTATGAACATTTTATACATAGAAATTACACATATACGTCATATTTCCATCACCACTGCTAATTTCAGGAAAATGCCATCAGAAGTCTGCATGATACCACTATAGCATGGTAAGAGAAGTAGTAGGCAATGATGAAGTTCAGATATTGAAACATTTTTCATTTCTCAGCAAAATCAAGTTAAAGCCCTGTGTCCATTCCAGGGACTGTGGGAGGTCATTCACCCAACCTGAAACTGCCTCTATGCCCACTGAGATGTGAGAAAAAGTACCTCTAACTATGGCCCCAAGAACTAAACTGCAAGCAGGATTGAGCCTGTAAGGATTGAGAAAGAGACAATTTTGGAGGACTGCAGATTCTGAAGTGCCTAGAAATCAGGTATGAATTAATGAATGTGTATACCAATGTCTAAGTGGAAGCCTTTATGAACAAATGGAACCACCACCCAAAACCTTCACTTGTGCTGCCACTTTCAACAGAGTAAGGAATTAACAGCATTGGAAAGAATTATCAAAAGTTTCATTCATGGTCCCAATTTCATCAGAATAAGGAATTAAGGAGCACCAGCTTCCAATACAATAATCCTGGAAATTCAGCATGGACTAGCACCTAATGCAGGATGGTTCAGTTAATAAGGCGTAAAAGCCTCACAATGTCCTCTGTTCATATTTTGTACCAGAAAAATGTAAACCTATCCAAAGAAATAAAAACTGCTTTGTCTCCGAAGCATATGCTATGTCTTTGCTAATGCGATTTTTGCTTGAAGCGTGCTAACGAATATTTGTTCTAATTCTCTATGACCTGTAAAGACAGTCAACTTCCATAAGGTGATTCAATAACAGCCAACTTTGTGATTGTTAAAACAACGAGTTGGCTTAAAAACTGAACCAACTAATATTTCACAATGAATATTATAATGCTCCATTCCCGGCCCATGTTTGAGCCTCAAGGTTCCCCAAATTCTCATTTTTTCTTTATACTATTGGACGTTAAGGATGCTTGAAACAAATGGAAATGAATGTCCAATTGGACTAATTCCCTTGATCAATACACCGTGGAGAGTACAACACTTGTTTATGATATCCTCCCATTTCTTACTCCCCAAATCATACACACGCTACAAGAAATCTTTTGACCCTTCAATCGTAAGTTTAATGATCCTAACAAATTACAAGGATTCAAACACTATTGATTAACATGTGAATCATATAAGGACTCAAATCCACTCTACATTCCTGGTTAATGAATACAAAACTTGATACAATTCATGATCTTTCTTGACAATCATCACACTGCACATTCTATTCCCACAAACCAAAATCACTAAATTCACAAACAACACAAAACCAAATTTACCCCTCATCCCACAATTCTGAAGCACCAGATGACCAATTTTCCCAGAAAAGAAACTCATAAATAAAACCTCAAACAAAAGAAAAAATAAAAAATACAAGGACATCAAAATTAGCCAAAGAACTAATAGAAACAAAAAACAAAAACAAAAACAAAAACTTAAACTTTACCTCAAATGGAAGCTAAATTAGTCCTTAAAGAACAAGCCTTGCTCTTACAAACAGGAATATCTTGAAACTGCTGAGAAGGCAAGTCCTCAGACAAAGCACCAACATAGAATCTCACCATATCAGACCCTTTAACCTTCTCCATCCCAGTGACCGGAAGCCAAAGGAACAATTTTTTAGCTTGAATCCCGGACACTTCACTCACAGCGCCATAACTCAACTTCCCTTTGATTTTCTTGTCGTAGTACACAAGCTGATCGAACTGCACGTAGCACGTGCTCGTTAGCTCGACGGAGAAGGCGCCTGTGTCGTTGGCAAGCGTGAAGGACTTGACGTTGCCTGGAAGAATGCCCTTTGGAAGACCGTACAAAGGGAGGAGATCATGGACGTCTGTGATTGAGTTGAGAGGCAGAGATGGACGGTGGAGATTGGTGAGGGAGAGAGTGAAGTGGGGTTTTGATAGGAAGATGAGAAAGAGGAGGGAGAGGGAGATTGAGAGGAGAGAAGTGGAAGCCATTGATGATGGAGACGAAGGAGAGAAGAGAAAGGTAATTAAGAGAGGTGGGGAACGGTAGAATGGGAAGATAATTTTGTTTTGATGAGTTTCAGGAGAAGTTGGGAGTTGACTGGGGTCGTTGAGTTGTTGAGTTGGTGTTCTTGTTCAATTGTTAGTTGGGTTTGCGTTGGTAAAGTTGCTTGAGAAGTTGGATAAGGTAATTTTGAGGGACAAAGAAGGGTAATATGGTAATAAACTTTATATTTACAATCGGTTAGTGTTATTTCGTGTTTCCATTGTAAAAAGATAAGAAAAATCTGAACCTTATGTTTTCTGGTTTTATAAACAGTATGTGATATGCTTTCAAGTTTTCAAATATGTACTGTGTTTATGTTTTTCATGACGAAACTAAGGGAATGTTTTTTAGTCAAGTGTATTTAGAAAATAGGTTTTTATAGGTTTTCACCTGGTACATCTAGATCGCTCGAGTTTCATGGGAGTGTCTAAATTCTACAAGATAAAGAGGGTCAAAACAGATCATATCAACTTAATATCAGAATTATAAAATATCATATTATTATGTGTAATATTTAATGTTCTATAAGATATATAACATATAATCTTCTATATAAGGTTAATCATCGAATTTATCAACACTCGTTTCATAATGTTAACAAACCAATCATAATTTGTCACGTCAATACCCGTGGTTTTTATAACAATTGTAAGAGTATTAGATTATGTCATGCAAAGCTTAGCTAGATGATACAATTCCAATCAAAATTAGGGTTGAATTTACAAATGAATAAACTTTAGGGGTGATTAACTTTTCGTAATTTATTGTCACTGATTCCGATAAAATTAGGGTTTAAATCGAAAGAATTTAAAACTATGTCCAAGTAAAAACCTAGCGTGGATGTTCGGTCGGTTGCTTTTCATTAGGGCGACTGAGACGTCGTATATAAAGGCGCCACTTCGGTAGTATCCCATTCGTAACAGAGCCATGGCTGACAAAAAGAAGGTTTCAAAAGGCGTTGCCGCCATTGAAGAGGCAGAGTTTAACGGGTATTTTAACACCAAGAAGGAGATGATTTACAAAAATATCATATGGGATTTATTGAACAAGTCTCATAATGAGAAAAACAAGGCTCAAAAACAAGAAAAGATGAAGAAAGATGATAAAAGGAAGAGGCATGCTTCAAGAACTAATCATGAAGAAGATGATAATCAGAGAAAGAAGAAGAGGCGCCTGAGTTCAAAAGTGAACTATGATGTCCTGGAAAAACTAATGAACGATGACGCGACGACGCCGGAGCCTGTAAAGACTGAGAGAGAATGCAAGGAGGAGAAGACTGTTGAAAGAGAAAGCTGTGGAGAAGGTGATGAAGTTGAGAATGGGAATGAGAATGAGGAGGATGAAGATGTCGATTATGGGAATATTTATTATGGTGATGAAGATGAAGAGGAATACAACAACTATGAGGAAGATTACGAAGATTACTGATGAAAGAGTTGATTTTTTTTACAATTTTGTATTGGATGTAAATTCTGGTTCAAGAAATCAAGATGATGATGTTCTTGTACTCAAAATATANTTGTAAGAGTATTAGATTATGTCATACAAAGCTTAGCTAGATGATACAATTCCAATCAAAGTTAGGGTTGAATTTACAAATGAATAAACTTTAGGGGTGATTAACTTTTCGTAATTTATTGTCACTGATTCCGATCAAAATTAGGGTTTAAATCGAAAGAATTTTAAACTATGTCCAAGTCAAAAGCTAGCGTGGATGTTAAGTCGGTTGCTTTTCTTTAGGGCGACTGAGACGTCGTATATAAAGGCGCCACTTCGGTAATACCCCATTCGTAACAGAGCCATGGCTGACAAAAAGAAGGTTTCAAAAGGCGTTGCCGCCATTGAAGAGGCAGAGTTTAATGGGTATTTCAACACCAAGAAGGAGATGATTTACAAAAATATTATATGGGATTTATTGAACAAGTCTCATAATGAGAAAAACAAGGCTCAAAAACAAGAAAAGATGAAGAAAGATGATAAAAGGAAGAGGCATGCTTCAAGAACTAATCATGAAGAAGATGATAATCAGAGAAAGAAGAAGAGGCGCCTGAGTTCAAAAGTGAACTATGATGTCCTGGAAAAACTAATGAACGATGACGCGACGACGCCGGAGCCTGTAAAGACTGAGAGAGAATGCAAGGAGGAGAAGACTGTTGAAAGAGAAAGCTGTGGAGAAGGTGATGAAGTTGAGAATGGGAATGAGAATAAGGAGGATGAAGATGTCGATTATGGGAATATTTATTATGGTGATGAAGATGAAGAGGAATACAACAACTATGAGGAAGATTACGAAGATTACTGATGAAAGAGTTGATTTTTTTTACAATTTTGTATTGGATGTAAATTCTGGTTCAAGAAATCAAGATGATGATGTTCTTGTACTCAAAATATAGAGTGGTTTTTGTAAGTCTTTCAGATAGATCTTAAACCTGTCTTCTGATCCGAGTTTTTGTGGATATTTCTCAGTCTTTCTGATCTAATTGATTTACGCACTTTCTGCTTCTGGTAGAGTTTTGATTGGGCACGATGACACTTCGTGTGAATGTTTAAGATACATTTTAAAAAGAATTTGTCAAATTATGAATTTTATATAAATGGGATGTTAGTTTCAGGCAAATTTCCATGTTTTTCACTCTTAGAAAACTAGTTTTCTGTGGTGAAGGAGCTTCCATAATTAAGAGAAAACCAGAGAGAACTGACACAGTTTAATTGCAAATCAACAATGACACTTAACCCAGGTTTGAGATCAATAACAGTAAGCAACAGAAATCTTCTGGCTCGTACCAAAATAGCAAATTGAGGCTTAATTTTGGGAGAAATTTCAGGGCGACGTGTCCATTGCAACAAGAGAGCCATTATTTTACAATACTATGTGCTCCGGATCTTTCATTCAACTTCACAATCCAAATCCAACCTCAAGAACATCAGAAAGAGTAGGCACAAGTTCCATCCATTGTTCTTCAGGTCTAATATTTCATTACACAAGTCTCAAACACAAGAGTACATAGTGGTACATTGAAGACTAAAGCAGAAATATATTGTCTCGTATATACATGATAAGAGTATACAACTTGCTTTTGAAAAGACTATCAGACTCCTGATTTTTGGGTCTGAAAGCAACTAACTCTAAATCGTGAACCATTAACAACCATTTTACGACTCTAGATATAGTAGTAGAAGAAAGCACTCGATAACATCTACTCTGTAATTAGCATCTGGACTTCATCAGCGATGGGAGTTGGCAGCTGCAAATAAAAAAACTCAAGAAGTTCAGACATAGAGACAAGATCTTAGTAAACTACTGAATATACCATACACTGCAACCAACTTCAGACAGGAAAGAAACGACGAGTGTAAAGAAGAGAATTATGCTAGTTGAAAAGTATCAGCCTATTTCTCAAAAGTAGAAGATGAAGCAGGAGCATACCAGAATATTTATATATTTATGATAAAAAAGTGCACAAGTTGCAGTGCCTTCTTTCCTTAGTCTTTAATAGCCGAAAATCAACATAAAGATACTAGTTAAAGGCTGAGCACAAACAGCTTAATCCTATACATTCAAATGGCATCACAACTGAATGCGTATTAAGACTCTTGGGTGAGGTGGAAGAAGAAGAGAAGAGGTGGGGGGAGGAAAAAATCCTTAGAAACAGAAACCATACACAAAAAAACAAACATCCTACAGCGAAAATATAGTTAAGGCTTAAAAGAAGTCAATGATGACAATATCTATCCCAATATCTCAAAAGTCCTGTCTAGTTAAAAGAAAAAATAGTGAATAAAATACTTCATGTATTACTAACACCAGAACAGTTTCTCCATTGATCCAACTGTGACAACCATCTTCAATCTTCGGTTCAATAGTTCAATTAGTGTTGTGAAAGGGAGGCAGTCAATCGGTGTTCATACAACATGGGGAAATGGAAAGTGCCATAGAGACTCTCAAGGTGAGGTGAGTCCCATGATTTTTGTTTTCATCATAAACATAAAAATGCTTGATCCGTTTCACTTGTAACTTCCCCACAAGAATTAAAACTTCAATAACTCACACTAATCGACACCATATGCAAACAATCAACCAATCCAACAAAGCTACACATCCCAAAAAGTATCCTAAATTTTCAGTGCGAACAGATACGTCATCCTAAGCGATATTATAACATCATCAACCACATTAACTCATCGTTCACTCCAAAAGTGTAAAAATATTCTTCTATAAAAGAAATGCATGATTCATATTTCTCAATACCACAGACACAAGTCAAGAATTTAGGAAAGATAATCACAGAACCTTCTCAAACAACACATACCCAATTACCCACAACAAAGAACTCAATGAACACATATCATAAAAACACATTAAAACCTAATCAAGCCACAAATTTTCAATTTTCAAATCCTAAATCTCAAAAACCCCACATCAAAACAATCAACAAATCCCTAAAATTCAATACAAAACCCGAATGACAGCTTGACAACCCGAACCCGACCCGGAAACTAATATTAAAACCTAGCGAAATCACAAAGTTTTCATTCCCAGATCAAGAATCTCAAAACCCCACATCAAAACAATCCACAAAACACTCGAATTCAATTCAAAAACCCGAAAAATACCTTCAGAGCCCGAGACCACGACCCGCAACCAGACCCGGAATATCCCAACTTATCATCACGGCAAGAATGGACAGTTTTGAACTGGCCCACGTCGAGCTTCTTATTGATCAACCCAACCTGGAAGTAAATCGAATCAGACGGCGGCAAATCGACCTTGATCTCATCAACATCGAACCAGAACAGAAAGCGCTGAACTTGAATACCCTTGAGGTGGGTGATAGCGCCGTAGCTGAGCTTTCCGGTGATGGTATTGTCGTAATAGACCAAGTAGTCGAACTGGATGTAGCAGGTGGAGGGAAGCTCAACGACAAATGAGCCGTCGTCGTTGAGGGTGTAGCTGGAGACGGTGGCCGGCAAGAGGCCCTGAGGGAGGCCGTACTTGGGCAGGAGCTCGTAGACGGTGGGCGGATTAGAGGATTGAGATAGAGAAGGTTTGAGGAGGGAGAAGAGGAGGAAGAGAGAGAGAAGAGAGAGATTTTGAGCCATGGTTTTGATCAGAAACGAAACGACGGATTGAGAGTTTGAGCTGGGAGTTACGGGAGGTTTTATATAGAGAAATGAAATGGGATTTTTTTTTTTTTTATTTTAAATAAGAAAAAAGGGCATGAATTTAATAATCATTATTATTGGAAAATGAAAATTAATTTATGTAGCTTTTTTATTATATAAGTTTTACCTATTTTATACATAAAATTTAAAAGGAAAGAAAGAAAGGTAGATGTTGTTATAATATGGAAGGCCATGTTAGTACCCATTTCATTTGTGAGAATCCTTAAAATCATAATCTAAAGAGAAGGGGTATTTTTAATTATGTAATTTATTTAATAGGTTTATGGAATTTAGAGGTATTTTAGTTATTTTAGTTTTAATTAATGGTTTTGACTAATATTCGTTAAAAACGTGTAAGAGTTTCCTAATATTTGTAACGATAAGATGAAGAATATGATAGATTGAAACTATAAAGCTGATTAAGTATTATTCCTCTCTCAAAATTAAAGAGAAAATAGATCTCTTTGCTTTAAGAAGGATAGAGTTAATCATAATTGTGATATGAGAGTTTTGTTACACGTCTTATCCTTGCATTTTAAGTGATATTGATTTAAAAATCATAATCCACATCCACATCGTAATCACGAATTGAGTATCAATTTTTTTTTTTTTTTTAATGACAAGAGATATCTGGGTTAGTTTACGGATATTTCAACTAAAATCTTAAGACCTTATAATTATTGGTTGGATGCGAGTTTCAGTGATCACCTCTATCAACAACTGTGTGGACTCGAATTTAAGAGATCATGTTAAATCTACTTCTTGCGCTTTTACCCTCAATGAGGCTCGAATTTGGAAGACCATGTTTGATTTTCCTCTTGCTCTTTAATTTTCAACTTCAAGGGAACTCGAACTTGAGAGACCATGTTAGATCTTGTTTTGCTCTTTTACTATTAAGTCATCCAGTGGTGGTTGAATATCATTTTTTAATATGGGTTAAGTTTTTTTTTGTTTTTCTCTATTCTTATAAAGGGTTAATCACAATCTTTTAGTTTTTGATGAAGTAAAAATTAAATCAAAAGAGATGGTATTATTAATAGTATTGAAGGTAAATTATTTGTCTCATATTTTCAATTACAAATCTACATTCAATTTCACAAACTTACAAATCTATATTCAATATTATTTGTTATTATTATTCTAGTATTCAACGTTAATACAAATCTATGTTAAAAACTTGTTACATATTTAACATTCAATTTGGGTGCGTTTGGATTGAGGGCATATAAAATAACGGGGGTAATCTTCGTTTATTTTGGAAGAATCCAGTGTTTGGTTTGTAAATAATAAAATATTATTGAAATCTTTTATTGTAAATAATGTTTACTATTGGTATTGTGGGGGTAATCTGATACCCTCCCCTACCCTTGGGATTAAAACATTATCAGGGTAATTTGATTTTTATACTCATTTTATCCTTAATTAAAAATCATTTCAGACACAATTGCTCTCAAATGTCTATAAAATAACAATTACTCATCTCTCCTACATTTGAGAAGTTAGCTAAAATATCTCAACCACAAAAAAATTTAAAAGTTAAAAAATACCCCCACCACTCAAGACCACCGTCGGCCGCCGGTGTTAGTTGTCGTAATGGTGCACAACCAGCGAGATCTGGCAGGTCGTGCGCCGGTAAGGTCTTTTCCAATCATGGATCACATATCTATGGCAAATAACGACCAAATCTAGCCATTTCTATGGCGTTTCACGGCCACGTCTTTGGCCGTGAAATGGCCAAAGATATGGTCATGACCGGAAATGGCTTTGTCGACGCACGATCGGCCATATATGGCTAGTCGTGCACCATTCCGTCGACTGCCAGTGGCGGTCGATAGTGGTGGCTGGCTATCGACAATGGCTTAGGGTGGGTGAGGTGATTTTGTTACAAATTAAAGTTTTATACGGCTGTGGTGTTTTAGCAAAATTTTAAATGTAAAAAGTTAAAAGAAATGATTCAAAAAATAATATTATATTAATATTTAAAAAGGATGACAATTTAGTAATCTATATAATATACCCACCCATTTATCCTCTCAACCAAACATATTATTCACCAATTTATTTGAACCAACTAAACACATTTTTTAAACATTCACAATAATCTTCAAGCTGATCTATTTTTCCGTTAATATAACTTTTCTTATAATAAAACATTATATAATCCAAACGCCCCCTTTGTGGCAAATTTCATGCTTTCTCTTAACTTAAATTAATTAGAATCTCTATCAATGTTTAAAATTAAGTAATAAAGAATGATATCCTAAAATATAATATGTCAGTTTAAACAAGATATTCGGAAGTTTAAAGTTTTATATTCACTACAATAATAAAATCAATATCCATATTTTAATATGTCAGTTTAAACANTTTTCAATTACAAATCTACATTCAATTTCACAAACTTACAAATCTATATTCAATATTATTTGTTATTATTATTCTAGTATTCAACGTTAATACAAATCTATGTTAAATGCTTGTTACATATGTAACATTCAATTTGGATGCGTTTGGATCGAGGGTATATAAGATAACGGGGGTAATCTTCGTTTATTTTGCAAGATTCTGGTGTTTGGTTTGCAAATAATAAAATATTACAGAAATTTTTTATTGCAAATAGTGTTTACTATTGGTACTGTGGAGGATAATCTGATACCTTTCCCTACCCTTGGGATTAAACATTACCAGGGTAATTTGATTTTTATATTCATTTTACCCTTAATTAAAAACTATTTCAGACACAATTGCTCTCAAATGTCTACAAAATAACAATTTCGCAGCCCTCCTACATTTGAAAAATTAGCTAAAATACCCCAACCACAAAAATTTTTTAAAGTTAACAAAATACCCCCAACCACTCAAGACCACCGCCGGCAGCGTGGTGTTAGTCATCGTAATGGTGCATAACCAGCAAGATCTGGTCGATTGTGCGCGGGTAAGGCCTTTTCCAACAATGGATCACATATCCATAGCAAAAAAAGACCAGATCTAACCGTTTCTATGGCGTTTCACGGCCATATCTTTGGTCGTGACTGGAAATGGCTTTGTCGACGCACGATCGGCCATATATGGCCAGTCGTACACCATTGCGTCGACTACCGGTGGCGGTCGATGGTGGTGGCTGGCTGCCGGTAATGGCTTGGGGTGGGTGAGGTGATTTTGCTGCAAATTAAAGTTTTATATGGTAATGGCGTTTTAGCAAAATTTCAAATGTAAAGGGTTAAAAAAAATGATTCAAAAAATAATATTATATTAATATTTAAAAAGGAGGGCAATTTAGTAATCTATATAACATACTCACCCATTTATCATCTCAACCAAACATATTATTCACCAATTTATTTGAACCAACCAAACACATTTTTTAAACATTTCCAATAATCTTCAAGGTGATTTATCTTTCCGTTAATATAACATCCCCTTGTAATAAAATATTATATGATTCAAACGTCCTCTTTGTGGCAAATTTCATGCTTTCTCTTAGCTTAAATTAATTAAAATCTCTATCAATGTTTAAAATTAAGTAATAAAGAATGATAGCCTAAAATATAAATATCTCGGTTTAAACAAGATATTCCGAAGTTTAAAGTTTTATATTCACTACAGTGATAAAATCAATATCCATATTTGTTGGATGATTAGATTTATGGTTTATTCTCGTTGTATTTAGATACGAGTCCCTTACAGATATCTACATTATTACAAACAATAATTTCTGCTATTAAAAAAATGATAGTTTCAAACTCGGGATGTTACTATGGATTTATGGATTATTAAAAAACGTAGCAATGAAATAATTTGTCTTGTGTTTTATCTTGGAGTGGGTGAGGCATGGTGTAAGGTTGATATGGTGGGAGGTGGGGTTGGAGAAACATGATCCGTTGGATTGAGTGAAAATCTTTTGGGCCATGTGATGTGATAGGATCTTGTCTCTTTGTGCAATAATTTTACATTATCCTTAAAAGAGGGTTTTTGGATTGATGAAGAGTGTTGATTATGGGACTCCTCAATTCTTGAGAATGCAACATTTGTTTTATTGTTCATTAAGATGATTTGTTTTTTAAGGATTTTAAATATTAAAAATATATGTAGAGTTTTAATTTAAAAACATATTTTGATATATGGTCAAAAAGTTATTGCCGTCCATATGGATAAGTGAAGATAGATATATATAATTATGTATACACTCACTTTAATTCAATGGTTTAGTCAAAATTTTAACAGTACCACATGGGTTAGTTTTTATTGTTATGCTTAAAGAGTGGTAGATTTTTTTTTATTTTTTTTTTTTGATACGATGTCTGAACCAGTTTGTGTATACCTCAATTAATTGTTCAAGATCTTGAAGTTAACAATCGGACAAATCCTCTAATGATCACTCCTATTAGCAATCGAGAGAAATCGAACTTAAGACCTCTTGAGTAATACACCCAAGATTCTCTATTATCCCATCTGACCACCTACTGATTAGGACTTAGGAGTTGTAAATTTATTGTCAAGTATATTTTATATTTTACTATAGAAAATATTATTAGGATGACACAATGTTTGATTGGTAAATCATGGGGTAAGAATCAAATAAATTTCTATTTAATGCGAAAAATAACTATCCCAACAGTATAACAATATCTACAAGAGAATTAGCATATTATTATATTGTAGATAATGTAACTCACACAGTTGTAATAAAACCTATCCATGGATTTATAAATAGTATAAGGAACAAATATATAATGGTTCTATTGTGCCAAAAATACACACTAATGTCAGCATCTTCAATCAGAGTTCAATAAACACTTAAAGATTAAGGTGATATTAGTTGTCATAAACCAAAACCGCTTCAAAGAGATATTTTATATCAATCCTATCTCATTTTAAAATAAAGATTAAGAAGTGGTCCTCACGTGTCAAGGCAACTTGCAAAAATACACATTACATTGACTTTAAAGATATAAATGGACACCTCTTTTTGTCAAAAAGAGGTTGGTTGGGCATATGAGAGCTAGA